GCATTATACACCAGGAGAGAAACTGTTTCTAAATGTAAAAAAGAGAACTCAACAAATAAAAAGCTTGAGTGCTCCTTTTAAGGGTCATTTTGCTCAGAAGTTAAACAAGTTTTTATATACTGTAGTATAACTACAGTGACTTTGCTTTTTATGATGTTCTGGAATAAGACACACAGTGCCAGCCAGTCATGTTCAGCTTTGAACTGTGCTTGCAAGTGCACGGAGAATTTTCAAAGGCATGGGGCTTTAATAAACAAAAATCATTTGGTGACGTTTGTTCTACAGCTTGAGAGTTTCTGAGGGTTGATAGCTCATGTACCTGATCAGACCTAAAAGCTGGTGCCTTATAGTAAAATAGTCTTAACCTACAGGCTAACTCTTATGTGCTTCCACGAGACTGCAAAGGGCCGTTTTTAAAGAAAAGCCAGAGTAGTATTTAGGGGTTTGAGCTGTGGAAATTCATACTGACCTTTCTAGAGATGGCTGTCTTTTCTATTTTTACACTAAGGTCAATGTCACCCGGCAAGCTGGTTCCAGTACAATGAGCTGTTAAGAGTTTTGTGAATGAATAAACTTCAAAGAAAGCACACTGGCACTGGTTTGAAATGTGTTTCTTCAGTATTGGGTCATGCACAAACTAGACATTGGTTTCTATTAATTTATTAAAATTTATAAATTTGTAGTGGGAGTTCTAATGGCACTTCTTAATGGTAGGAGTGCAGATAGCCCATGGGCTTTAAATATCCCTCACTTTGACACCAGCAGTAGTGTATTTAAAGTGTGTGTTTTTTAAAACAAATATTTTTGTAATCAAATCTACATGGTAAGTGCTTCATAGTCTGTGTACATGACTCCAGATCTTTGTTATCCTTAAGTTCTGTTCCTGTTAGTGATTTAGTATGTTTCATTTAAGTTTCTCTGACATTTCACAGGTTACAGGAATTGTAAAGCAGTAACCTGAAAGCAGAATACCAAAATGAAGTCAGAGTATAAAGCAGTCCCAGAAAAGTATTAAACCTCGTTTAAATGAGGAGCTACTCTGTTAATGAATTGGGAACTTAGTCTTTTAATTGCATAGTGTGAAAGATGGAAATAAGTTGTTTGTGCATGCACTGACACAAATGAGTGGCAAGCTGATTATGTCAGGCCTTGTAAATGGAACGAGCACCCTCTCACTCCATTTTCTTGCTCCACCTTGCAGAAACTTTTTTGTTTGCACTTAGGAATATATTGTAATGTGTGTCAAAAAATGTGATTTCCCCCAGCCCTGTGTGACTATAGCTTTGGAGAATAAGAGGTTGATCCTGAGAGTTAATCTGCAGCAACAGTGAAAATGTCATTAATATTAACCTCTCACAGGACACAGAGGGGTTGGCTTCAAAGAACATGTAATATTTGAAAAATGCTTGGGTGTTACAGACTAGGACTAGGTAGACACTTCAAAAAATAAATAAAGCACCCTTTCAGCTGAGAGGTTATGGCAGATATAGTGAAACACTTTGGTTTATAAGAGCATGTTAAAAAAAAAAAGGGGCAGGAATAGTCTTGCACTGTGCCTTGTGGAGTGTTGTAGCCATTAAAGGACTATCCAACAGATCCCAGAGTTAAAAATAACTCAAATCTTTTAGATTTTAAGCAACTTTGTGCCCTGGGAGGCTGTTAGTTTGAAAATTAAACTGCAGCATGACTCTTGCTCCATCTACAGGAAACAGGGAAGTCTGACGCACATCTGAGACTGCAGTACCTCTTGAGCTGCCAG